ATCCCGTCTCTGGTTCTAGAAACAGAAGGATAAACTTTCAACAAATATAATATGCACCTTTCTTCAATGTTTCGCAAAGTTGTTGAAGCATCAGCTGTATTCTTGGAAGGAACCTCACCACTTGTCGGTGCGGGATTTTGTGTACAGACAGTTTGTGTACAGACCTTTTGTCTGCCAGTATGCCTGACAGTCGTGTTCCATCTCCCCCCTCCTGCCGGTTTCACGGTAGATGGTTCCGTCCTGTGGATGTGCGCAGTAGCAGAAGCCGGTCGAGCCGTGACACTGTTTGGTGCTGAAGCTGCCGTCCTCCTCACACTGTTTCACAAACTGTCCCGGCATGGGCTCTGTGTTCTGGAGCTGGGTCTGGCATTCCGTCTCTGGTTCTAGAAACAAAAGATAAATCATCAACAATGCACCTGTCTTCAATGTTTCACAAACTTGTTGAAGCATCAGCTGTGTTTTTGGAAGGAACCTCACCACTTGTCGGTGCGGGGTTTTGTGTACAGACAGTTTCACCTTTTGTCTGCCAGTATGCCTGACAGTCGTGTTCCATCTCCCCCCTCCTGCCGGTTTCACGGTAGATGGTTCCGTCCTGTGGATGTGCGCAGTAGCAGAAGCCGGTCGAGCCGTGACACTGTTTGGTGCTGAAGCTGCCGTCCTCCTCACACTGTTTCACAAACTTTCCTGGCATGGGCTCTGTGTTCGTGAGCTGGGCCAGGCATCCCGTCTCTGGTTCTAGAAACAAAAGGAAAAACCGTCTTGAATGTTTCACAAACTTGTTGAGGCATCATCTGTGTACATGCCTACATGTCCCTAAATCATCTTCACTGCTCTCTCAATGGCTCATGGGAATGCACTGCCCATCATGCAGTGCGAATCCATCGTCACACTGACACCCTGCGATACAGACTTGTGTACAGATGGGTGCGGGGTTCTCACATGTGGGCTGGCAGGCTCCGTGTCCAGGACAGGACAGAAAAAGATGAAGCATCTTTAACCGTAGAAACTGTTAAAAGTGTACCTTTTGTCTGCCAGTATGCCTGACAGTCGTGTTCCATCTCCCCCCTCTTGCCGGTTTCACGGTAGATGGTTCCGTCCTGTGGATGTGCGCAGTAGCAGAAGCCGGTCGAGCCGTGACACTGTTTGGTGCTGAAGCTGCCGTCCTCCTCACACTGTTTCACAAACTGTCCCGGCATGGGCTCTGTGTTCGTGAGCTGGGCCAGGCATCCCGTCTCTGGTTCTAGAAACAGAAGGATAAACTTTCAACAAATATAATATGCACCTTTCTTCAATGTTTCGCAAAGTTGTTGAAGCATCAGCTGTATTCTTGGAAGGAACCTCACCACTTGTCGGTGCGGGATTTTGTGTACAGACAGTTTGTGTACAGACCTTTTGTCTGCCAGTATGCCTGACAGTCGTGTTCCATCTCCCCCCTCCTGCCGGTTTCACGGTAGATGGTTCCGTCCTGTGGATGTGCGCAGTAGCAGAAGCCGGACGAGCCGTGACACTGTTTGGTGCTGAAGCTGCCGTCCTCCTCACACTGTTTCACAAACTGTCCCGGCATGGGCTCTGTGTTCTGAGCTGGGCCTGGCATTCCGTCTCTTGTTCTAGAAACAAAGGAAAATCTATCAACAATGCACCCGTCTTCAATGTTTCACAAACTTGTTCAGGCATCATCTGTGTACATGCCTACATGTACTTAAATCATCTTCACTGCTCTCGCAATGGCTCATGGGAATGCACTGCCCATCATGCAGTGCGAATCCATCGTCACACTGACACCCTGCGATACAGACTTGTGTACAGATGGGTGCGGGGTTCTCACATGTGGGCTGGCAGGCCCCGTGTCCAGGACAGGACAGAAAAAGACAAAGCATCTTTAACCTTAGAAACTTTTAAAGTGTACCTTTTGTCTGCCAGTATGCCTGACAGTCGTGTTCCATCTCCCCCCTCCTGCCGGTTTCACGGTAGATGGTTCCGTCCTGTGGATGTGCGCAGTAGCAGAAGCCGGACGAGCCGTGACACTGTTTGGTGCTGAAGCTGCCGTCCTCCTCACACTGTTTCACAAACTTTCCCGGCATGGGCTCTGTGTTCTGGAGCTGAGCCTGGCATTCCGTCTCTTGTTCTAGAAACAAAAAGATACATCATCAACAATGCACCTGTCTTCAATGTTTCACAAACTTGTTGAAGCATCAGCTGTGTTGTTGTAAGAAAGCTGATTTCAGTTCATAGCCTGGAGACCAGAGAGTTTGCTCATTCCCAATAATGAGAAGTTAGTCACGATTTTACAATTGGAAAAAAGGATGGTGCATTGATATCGTAAACCCAAGAACCTGACAGTCAGTTTTACCTTTTGTCTGCCAGTATGCCTGACAGTCGTGTTCCATCTCCCCCCTCCTGCCGGTCTCACGGTAGATGGTTCCGTCCTGTGGATGTGCGCAGTAGCAGAAGCCGGACGAGCCGTGACACTGTTTGGTGCTGAAGCTGCCGTCCTCCTCACACTGTTTCACAAACTGTCCCGGCATGGGCTCTGTGTTCTGGAGCTGGGCCAGGCATCCCGTCTCTGGTTCTAGAAACAGAAGGATAAACTTTCAACAAATATAATATGCACCTTTCTTCAATGTTTCGCAAAGTTGTTGAAGTATCAGCTGTAGTCTTGGAAGGAACCTCACCACTTGTCGGTGCGGGATTTTGGCAGATCATGACACACCCATCTGAGCAGCACTTCTGCCGCCGAGGGCAGTCAGGGTCCCCGTCACACTGGCTCCGCTCCCCCTTCCGACAGCTTGTCTCTCGTTCCGGTGCAGGACACGTACCAGGTTTACGTCTCATGGGTCCTGGAAACACGCAAAAGGGACACTTTAGACAACATTGATCACTGATGTTGCCATCATACAATATCTTCCAATATAAACAAAACGTTGGCATGAAAAGAGGGGGTAAACTGGTTAAGAGGCAACTCCCCATAAATCAAACCAACAAATACCCGCCGATACTTGATGGGCACTTTACATATTGCACACCAAGATGTTTCATTTTAAAAAGTAATCTTGCTCTAATCTTACCCCGCATCGGCCGTTTGCATTCCAGCGGCCCTCCGCACCCGTTATCGCAACACTTCTCTCCTCTGGAACAGTCTCCGTCCGCTCTACAAGTTCTGTACGGCCTCGGCAGTAGGCACTCGTCAGCGCTTAGGGGGGCGGGGCATGTACCTGGTGTCTCTGAAGGATTGAATCAAACAGTCTTGTTCGCGGCATCTTCGCAGTGATGTGCGTTATGTTTTCAAATTTTAAAACACTTGGCTAGTTCAACAGAGTGTTACAATAATCTTTCTGACATCGGTCTAGAGCCTTAAAATCTGTGCATCTCTGCCACAACTTACGTCCGTCCGGTGTAGGCCTCCCCCTCACACGGACACATTCCTGTCCACAGCCGAGATCACAGCACTTCTCTACCCTGGTACAGTCCATGTCCGTGGTACAGACCCTGTACAGCCTCGGTCCTGAGCAGTCGGCTTCACTCAGGCTGGGGGCCGGACAAGTGCCTGGTCTCTCAGGGAACGCTGGGATAAAATAATGTTTTCTGTCCCATTTTGCATGTGTAGTTAATACAGGTTGAGCAGATGTGCCGCTATGGTGGGCCATGGCTGGCTATTCTCTCGACATGATTTACACGACAGTGGAAAATAACATGTTTAATTTTACTGTGCATGTTGCATTCAATCAACGATAGATCTAGGAAACTTTTTCCTTGAAGCTTTTTGTTTGTCAAAATCATTGAGAATGTTTCTTTTTTTCAATCTAAGATCCTTCCCAAGGTATAATAGTCCGACTACTTACGTCTGTTTGGTCGCGGAGGTCTCCTGCGCACACGAACACATGTTCTCTGACAGCCGTTAAAACAGCACTTCTCCCTCCATCTGCAGTTCGCGTCCATGGAGCATTTCCTGAACACCCTCAGCAGGCACTGGTCGTCACTGAAGGCAGGTGCTGGACATATGCCTGGTCTCTCAGGGACGGCTGGAGGAGGAAACACATAAAGCGGTCTCTAGGAAACTGTACGGTCAGTCTAAGGTAATATAAATGGCACATCGTTTTTAAATGTGTAAGATTGTTCAGAGGGAGTTAAAAGTGATATGGAAGGGCAACAGCCAACGCTCGTCCACTACGTGACTTCTTACGGGCTTCGCCACAGTCAACTTCGTTTCCTTCTTCGTCGAAAAAGTCGGCGTTGCAGCCTCCGCAGTAGTTGGCCTGACACGTGGCGTTCGGGTGTCCCGGACAGGTCCTCCTCTCACAAGGGTTCCGCAGGCATCTGGCCACGCCGACCCCGGGTGGGCATGAGGAATTGTCTGAAAATGTCGCCAGCAAAAAGACCAAGACATTACCTGCGTGCACCATAATAAATGGGAATAAGCGGAAGCAAGATACTACATGTGCTTGGCTCACATTGTCACATATAAAAATTTTGACTACGTGACGTAAGTGCCTAGTGTACATTAGCAGAAAGTAACTAACATGGCCAAGGCACTTACGAGGTCTACCGTGCCTCACTTTGATGCACGTCTTGCCGCAGGGCATCTGACAGCATTTCCGTTGGCGTGGGCAGTCGGAGTCGGCCTCGCATCGGTCGGAAGACTCGCCACTACACGGCCGTCTGGAGGGAGGCGGGCACGTGCCTGGTTTGTCTTCATCTGCTGTACAAAAGAAAAAAAAATATTGTAAAACTATTGACATTGAAAGCATGCTTTTTGCAGCGATGGCTGGCCTTGTACTGCCCTTATGTACGGATACATAGGCTTCTCAACTGATGCACTAGTGTTTTTGTCGACGTCGGATTTGGATGTAGTCTCTGAAATAGTCTGCAGCAGAGTGGTCTACTTAAGACTTAAGATTACTAGTAGTTTGTGCTTTCTTACCAGCTTCTTCACATTCAACTTCATTCCCGTCTTCGTCGAAAAACTCGGCGTTGCAGCCTCCGCAGTAGTTGGCCTGACACGTGGCGTTCGGGTGTCCCGGACAGGTCCTCCTCTCACAAGGGTTCCGTAGGCATCTCGCCACACCAACCCCGGGTGGGCATGGGCGACGTTCTGGGCAGAGCAGGACAGGAACAAGGAAGGACAAGACATCAATCGTGTTGAAAAAAGAAGCATTGTGCCATAGAAAACTATACTAAAGCAAACAGAACAAAATGACATACCTAGATTCTCTGGGGTGTCCATCTCGCACTGGCTCATGGGTATACACTCCCCATCATGCAGTGCGAATCCATCGTCACACTGACACCCTGCGATACAGACTTGTGTACAGATGGGTGCGGGGTTCTCACATGTGGGCTGGCAGGCTCCGTGTCCACACGTGTCGAAGTGGCTGTTTTCACCGCACACTAAGGCCGAAAACATCGATGTAATATTAGATTCAGGCAGCTAAAGCTGATTTCAGTTCATGGCCTGGAGACCAAAACTTACTGAACCAGAGTTTGCTCTATCCCAATAATGAGAAATTAGTCGCAATTTTACAATTGGAAAAAGTATGGTGCGTCGATATCGTAAACTCAAGAAACTGACAGTTTTACCTTTTGTCTGCCAGTAAGCCTGACAGTCGTGTCCCATCTCCCCCCTCCTGCCGGTCTCACGGTAGATGGTTCCGTCCTGTGGATGTGCGCAGTAGCAGAAGCCGGACGAGCCGTGACACTGTTTGGTGCTGAAGCTGCCGTCCTCCTCACACTGTTTCACAAACTTTCCCGGCATGGGCTCTGTGTTCTGGAGCTGGGCCTGGCATTCCGTCTCTTGTTCTAGAAACAAAAAGATAAATCATCAACAATGCACCTGTCTTCAATGTTTCACAAACTTGTTGAAGCATCAGCTGTGTTGTTGGAAGGAACCTGACCACTTGTCGGTGCGGGATTTTGTGTACAGACAGTTTCACCTTTTGTCTGCCAGTATGCCTGACAGTCGTGTTCCATCTCCCCCCTCCTGCCGGTTTCACGGTAGATGGTTCCGTCCTGTGGATGTGCGCAGTAGCAGAAGCCGGTCGAGCCGTGACACTGTTGGTGCTGAGCTGCCGTCCTCCTCACACTGTTTCACAAACTGTCCCGGCATGGGCTCTGTGTTCTCGTTACACACTGGGGCTGAGAGGAAAATATTGGCATCGAGACAGAGACGTTTAGTGTTAATCAGTGGTCAAGTTGTGTGCACACAAATGTGTAATATTGTGCACTGTACAACGAAATCGGTCAATGTATTTAACAAAGAACAACCAACAAAAGGATCCACCGTTATGGTATTACATAACGTACAGCAGCCTACCTGAATCATCTTCACCGCTCTCGCACTGACTCATGGGTATACACTGCCCATCATGCAGTGCGAATCCATCGTCACACTGACACCCTGCGATACAGACTTGTGTACAGATGGGTGCGGGGTTCTCACATGTGGGCTGGCAGGCTCCGTGTCCACACGTGTCGAAGTGGCTGTTTTCAGCGCAAACTAAAGGCGAAAATGTTGGTAATTGCAAATTGTGGTAGATTTTAAAGCTTGCTAGAAATTACCTCGAAAACATTTTTTCTTCTTCAATTAAATTTTTAGCGTGCTGATCAAGACTTAACTTTGACAGAAAGGCAGTTTTTACTTGGACCTTTTCCAAAAGTCTTTGTTCTTCTTACCGACGTCGTCACAGTGGACCATTTCTCCGCCCTCGTCGAAAAACTCGGCGTTACAGCCGCCGCAGTAGTTGGGCTGACACGTGGCGGCTGGGTTGGCGGGGCAGCTGGTGACGTCACATGGGTTAGCGAAGCAGTTGAACACTTCGACATCAGGTGGGCAAGTGGGAGGTTCTACCAAGAACATTAAAAAAAAGAAGAAGTCCATCACATGGATGCTTCATGGATTCGGGGAGAAGAGCCATCTACAAGAATTCGTCTGTGTCGACAATCGACGACTGTCGACACTGGACGATGTGCATTTACACGTTGTAGGTCAACGGTACAAACCTTTTACGGGCAGGAAAAATCATTCATATTTATACAGAATAAGTACATGTAGTCCTAGCCTGGGTGTCATCCTTTATCCTATTTGTATGCCAGGGCTCCCACCATACTCGCTCACTAAAAAATAGGGATCGAGTATGGGAGCCCCGGCATACAAATAGGATGGCACCCAGGCTAATGTAGTTCAAGTTACGTTGGTTGTTAAGACGAGGTGTTCTTACCGGTTTCGTCGCAAACAACTTTGTTGCCGCCCTCGTCGAAAAACTCGGCGTTACAGCCTCCGCAGTAGTTGGCCTGACACCTGGCATCTGGGTGGGCGGGGCAGCTGGTGACGTCACATGGGTTAGCGAAGCAGTTGAACACTTCATCAGGTGGGCAAGTGGGAAGGGCTGGAAATGTCACTAAAATAAAGAGGAAAACTCTTTAAAACCCTCCACATCAGGCTTTGGTATTACCAGTTATTTTGCTGATTCCTCTTTGTTTCGCGTCTGTTGGCGTGACTATTTTCCCAACACCATTCTCGGAGTCTGCTGTGGAGGCGACAAGTTTCTCATCCTCTAAGTAGCCGCCTTGCCGTTAAAATGAGTTTTCTGCATGTGGCCTGCGCCAAGCCTTCATAAGGTACCAAGGGGTTATGATTCGCCTCAAGGTTTTCTCCCTATAGCCAGTGTAGTTAGTCTGGTATAGATATTTTCTGCGTGAATGTCATTGAGGGCCGTACTTAGGCACGTGCCTGATTTAAATGCCTTCACGCCCGCCGATGCTTGTGAGAATTGTGAGCGTGAAGGGAGCCATGGCGACCGCTACTCTCAGAGCGCGGACATCGAAGTTCAAGTCTTCCCTCTGCATATGGCTGAAAGACTAACGATGTTGGCAGGAGTTGAGAGGACAGACAGGAACTTGATTATAGAAGGGGTGAAAAGTTTAGCAGGGCAAGGCTGCTTAGTGCCGTTGATCCGTGTTTGTTTCTTAGAAACGTCACAGCTCATCAGGATAACTGCTGCTTCGGTAAGACACAAAAGACCGGGTCTGGTTTAGTTATTTTCTGTGGACGTGAAAGACGTTGGGCTGCTGAGCTAGTTGACTGCTAGTTTCTGCTGCCATGGCGAGACGATGAGGAGCTTCCATTTGGTGTGTGTGAGGGCGGACTCTGACAACGCTTTACGCTAAATTCAGGAGGCCGTGTACGAATCAAATTACGCTAAATTCGAGAAGAGACCGCTACGCCTCCCGCTAAATTTTGTCACCTCGCCACAAATGACGCGAAGTTGAATGGCTTTCCTAACGAATTACGCGAAACTAAAATACCTCGCCTACGCCCTACAGAAAAGAGTATATGTAGGCCTCCGATGTGACGTGACAGGACTCAAATACACTGGACACCCTTTAAATTCACTCCCCGTATCATGTTACGTATTCGAGGTGAACGCGCCTCACCTTCGTCGCACTCGACCCTGATGCCGTCACTGTCGTAAAACGCGGCGTTACAGCCTCCGCAGTAGTCCGCCCGGCACCGTGCGTCTGGATGGGCGGGGCAGCGGGTCACCTCACATGGGTCTGCCGTGCAGGCGACCTGCCCGACACCAGGTGGACAGGGTCCGGGTTCTATCGGTAGAAATCACATTATTACTGTCACGATGAATCTTTCAACGGTGTGAAAGTATTCAGGAGAGTCACGGAGAACAAAAAAGTGTATTCTGAAAGGTTTTGTACATTCAATCACCTAATATTAGTTTGAGCTGAGAGCCTCGTCGAAGCAAAATGATCAAGACGGGGATACTACAGCTGGTCTGTTTTGTCTTTCATCTTTTGGATAAAAGATGTAATTGTGTAATATTTGGTCTTAAGTAAAACAACAAACTATTCCCTATCAGTAAGGCGAATCTATTGCTGTGTATACTGTAGCCGTTGATAAGATGTACATGTACTAGTTATCAGAAAGACCGTGCCCGTACCGGGCCTGCCGACAGCGGGACTGTCCCCCATGGCGCCCAGGCACACGGCGTTCCCGTTACACTGCTGCACGCAGATCCCGAACCCAACATGCCGCATGCCGTGTGGACACTGTCCAGGTACAGCTGAACACAGGATCGAAAACAGATTGAGATGATTAGCCTGGGGGCTGGATCTTGGCAGGGCTTTTCTTCCACAATGGGCTGAACTCTTGCCAAAAGCGCGGCTTTTTGACAACACTTAAATAATATACGACCTGTCCGAGCGCTTTTGGCGTACCTGGCAGGGGGAGATCTGTTCCGGAAACGAGGAGTACAGATTTAATGTAACAACTTTTGGGTTCTGTCCCAATAAGAACAGGTGCTTTAATACTTACAAACGTAGACCGCCGTAATTGGTAAGTCAACTCGCATGAGGGACCCGTTTTCTTGTGAGACATACAAGAACGGATATTGTAACAAACATGTTTTGATGCAAATGACGTCTTGCATCAGATAAGGCCATGCAATAATCATTTAATTAGTGCTGATAGGAACGCTGGGACAAAAAGACAAACATCACTAACCGACTAAACTTTTTAGTCGCCGTGTAAGGCTATTTACTAGTAATTACCGTCTCCGAAAAACAAACATGTCAAACACAACAATCTCCAAATTGAGTCAAATTTGATCGCTTCATTATAGATTATGTCACAGGAACTACGATGTTGTAATCAAGTGTGTAGAACAACCGAAATAAAAGGTAGGATACGAGTATTCTACTCTCGCACCAACATTCGTCGCAGGCGGCCTTACGATTTTGCCGCCGGAAAATTTTCAAACATCCTGAACCAAGAACCAACCGCTAACAAGGATCTAAGACAACCTTCTTCGTAATAAGACAGCTGAAGTTTGCAGGACTAAAATGGCTTCAGTTTGCGATCGTACAATATAATGCTGGAGCGACGAATGTGATCAGACCCAGACAACTACTCACCTTGGCTGGCACCAGTCAGAGCGGCTATCAGTAGTGCTGCGTGGACGAACAAGACCCGCATTATTTCTGTTCTCTAAAATCTCAGGGCTGAGAACAGAGTTTCAGTGGCGTCCGCTGACACAGGTGTTGTTCTTTTTCCAGCAGTCCTAGTCCGGCACTCCGAAAGTACGCCTAGGCCCGACCGCTGCCTCTGGAGGCTGTGTTGCCTATGACAGGCCGTGTTGATTTGTCAGTGTTTTTATACGGGACCTACCATTCATGACAACGGCAACCTCACGGGTGTCAGCTCACGTGATCAGGGACCTTGTGCAGAACGAAGTCAAGAATGTCGGGCATAAGAGCCGGAAGGTACAATTCATAACGTATTCCGTCATCACCTTTGCCATTATTATACCTACAGGCAGGTGAGATCAAGTGAGCCACTTTGTTTCCTATCAAGACAGACGAATATGGAAGAATATGATTTATAGTCTGTATTCAACTCCCCTATCAAGTCAAACGGACGGTCCCGTCCAAACGGCCCTTCTCACTGACAGACGAAACGGGCAAAAACAACTTGTTGTGAAGGAATGAGAAGTTCGTGTTTTGCGGGTTAAGCAGATCTCCATGGTTTATTGTTAGAAAAGTTCACAATGAGTTTAACCGGTCATTCACTCGTGTGGGTTCGTATATACCATACCAGACCGTTCCATCCGTCGTTTCAAATATCAAATATATGGTGAAGAGTTTTTAGCTATGATAGAAAAGGCAGCAGGGGAGATGAGCAAATGAGGCATGACATCTCTACAGGCAAATATTGGACAGTATTATTTTCATTGATGGTCTGAGATTTAATCCCATTTTCGTGGTATTGATAAGACGGGCGTTCTGTGCCTTGATATAGAAATAGAAAACATCTATTTTGATATGTACATTACATGGATCATTACCTCCTAGGCCTCAAGATAATGTTGAACAGAAGATACTAAAGATCTAGCCATGTTTTTAATGAGTGTTGGTCTATCACTAGATCCTTCTGTGCTGTGCCCTGGTAACTAACTGCCCTATTCAGCAGATTGTGTGTTGATATACGGTGTTACGTCCATGGAGGACGATTCTCAGTGACCAAGTCCAAGGTTAATACATAAACGCTAATATATCTCAGTGGGAAACACGATAAGTCGTGCCAACTGCCAGCTTTGCCAGGCCCTTTTCAAACAAAGATGACGGTGATATGTGGCCCCCTGGCTGGGCTGATTGAGCTCTCTGTGCCCGGGTAGCGATAAGATACGTAAGAAATTCAGCAAAGTTGACAAAAAAATTGAAAGAAAGAAGTTGACAAAATCAAGCTGGTGTGTGTTACACGGGAACGGACTGAGAATTTAAACTGGAGGTTTGCATGAAGCTGCTGTCACATACGTTGGCATGTTTTAAGTCGTTGTATGGCCACATCACCTGACGTCTGTGCCGAAGAGCAGAACGTTTTGTAACGTCAGCGTATATTGTGAGCGTTGTGCTGTGGTAACTTGCAACTTGTCTCAAACTCATATTCACAGGCTTTTCCATTGTGCTGGTGCGGCTTGTATGGGCTTGGAGATCTAGTGCTGCTTGTATGGGCTATACACTTCCTTCCCAGCGTGTCCCAGAGCTTCATCATTTAGAAAAGTCCACCTGGCACACAAAAACCAGAACTGGACGGGAGGCAAGGAAATAAGGCGCATCCGCTCTGTTAGGAAATGGCCTCTTCGCAACAGGAGAGGTAGACTCAGTCTTTCATCTGACTCAGAAGTCATCAAAAACATTTGTTCAGAGAACGCACTGCGAGTCAGATCTTGTTACTCCTTTCTTCCTACCACGACACA